CCTCCTCCCTTTGCACTGGACTTAGCCCCAAGACACGGGGCCTGGAGAAGGTGGACAGTGTTACCACTGGCCCCAACTAAGCAACAGTGCAGACCGCTTCTTGTTTCATGCCTTCCTGTGGCCCATGTAACTAACGCATGCTAGAGCAATTTCCTGCCTTACTGAGTAGAATATATTGAATAAAAGCATGCCCTCTGATGATTCAAGACCTCACAGGGTCTCCGTGTTTGAAAATATCCTGTTTCATCCATGCAACGGATACAGCACTGGCTCCAACTGCAGCCCGCGTGGGCCAGGCAGGCTGGTCAACCCCAGAGCGGGAGGACCTGAGTTCCTGAACGCACTTAGCTTGCATGTTCCAAATGCAGGAATAGTCTGCACGTTCACAAATGAGTTGCTTCTGTCCTGTTTTCCCTTGAAACATTGGCCTTTACAGTCTAACACTGCTTTTTCCACTGTTGAAAGAGATGTGAATTCAAGAAATATTTCATCAGTCTTTTCACGATGAATGGAAATCCAAAAGCAATTCAGTTGATGAGTGAGCCCAGCCTGTGGTGCCCACACTATCCCATCATTACACTAGTAACAGCCCGTGTCTACCAAGCACTTTCTATATGTCAGGCACCATGTTAAGCCCTTGACATGCAACATTTCCTTTCATCGTCCTAACCTCCCTATGAGATAGGCACTGAGATTGTGCCGTTTCTCAGGTGGACAAGCAGAGAGTCAGAAAGCTAAAGCAGCCTTTGCTGAGCCGGTGGTGCATACAATCTATAGCCAGGCTGCATCCGGGGCCTACACAGGCTGGTGGCCAGCGAGTGTTCACCCCCTAAAAGAAGTCTGGTCCCCCAGGCAGAGCTGGGCAGCGGCATGGGGAGGCTACATCAAATCACAAACAGCTCGGAGTAGCCACAGCGAGCAGGCTCTGCCCTTGGCTACCCCAAGTTTTCAGAGCCATCAGAAGCTTTTGGGGCACTCCCGCCTTTGGAGAAGGCTCCTAAGTTTGCTCACCCTTCCTGGGATGGAAGAAGTCGTGGTTTGGGAAGCTACAGATGGAGTGGCAGATGGGAAGTGAAGGCCTATCAGAGTTGCCCAGGATAAAACCATTCATCTGCAAAATTCATGTTTTTGTGTGGGGCGACTTCATGAAAACAACAGCAAGAGGAAGCAGCAGTGCCTGATGCATGACGTGCCTCTGGCCACCAGGCTGGCAAAGCACAGTGGACAGAAGAACCGGGGCGGGGGGGAGAGGGGTGGGCGGGCACTGAAATGAGAGCAGAGAAAGACAGAGCGACAGAGATGCAGAGACCCAGAGCGTGAAGCTAAAAAGCTAGAAATATGATGACTCTCTTCCCCAAACACCCCAAATAGGTGGGGCACATGGTCTAAGGAAGGATTTCTGGACCCCTCAGATATGAGGCTCAGCCTTACAACGAAACTGACTGTGGACATTGACTGGGTACTTTCTAAGTGCCAACACTCTGCTGGTTGCATTGCTACAACCTGATCTCACAAAGACTGAATTTACCTCTGATGGTTTTAGTTCTGCCAGTGAAGTGGCAGAACTCAGACTCAAACCTTGGCCACCTGCTGAGAGTCGGAGCACTCCTCCTCTTGGATGCTGAAATGCTAGAAATTCCGATATCCGGGCAGAGCAGACTTGGTTAAGTGGCCATGGTTGGTTATGGCTTCAACTTCCAAGTCAACACAAAGCCTCTAGGGGGAAGTCTCAAGACCTGGCATGAGTCTCCTGGGAAGGGCCAGGGGCCTGGGCATACCTAACTGATCTCAAGAGGTCTCTGGCCGAGTTCCGCCGCATGACCTAGGCTGAAATGACCTCTGGGGCCTCCACGGGAGGCCTGGAAGAAAGTGTGGGAATCTTGATCCTAGCTAGTCAGACTCGGGGACAATAGGAGACCTTTACTCATGCGATTTCCTGCTGCCAGGTGGTGCAATCACATCCCTGCCCAGCCTGGAGCTTGAGGATGGCCGTGCTCTCTAGGCAGCCTGGGGCCATCCTGCCACTCTGGGCCAGCTGACTTCCCCAGAGACCAACTTCAAGCAGAAAGAATAACAACCTTAGAGCCAGACAGAACTGGTTCTAATCCCCAGCCTGCCACGTATTCTTTACATGACCTTGGGCCTCAGCTTGCCCTTCAATAAAACAGGTTTGCTTTGAGGGCTGACGGAAGCACCTCCCACATCAGCTGCTCCACAGCAGCAGGTTAGGGTATTTCTGAACTCAGTCCTTCCTTGGGAGATGGAGGAGAATGTTCTAACTCACCTTGCCCTGTCCCTCTCTAACTCACCTCTCCTCATTCTTTTATTGCATTCTGTTTAAATTTCTCTAATGCATCTAGTTCACCTCTGACCCAAGTCTTATCCAGGCTGTCCTTTCTCTCAGGAACTGGAGAGTGATTCTGCCCCTGGGGAAACAGCAACTGGAGATGTTTGTGGATGTCACAGTGCCTGGGGGTGGGGAGCACTACCAGCATCTGGTAGATGGGCCCGGGATGCTGCTAAACACCCTACAGTGCCCAGGACAGCCCCGCAGCATGGAAGGCTCCAGCCTGTTATGCTAATAGTGCCTAGGTTGGGAAATCCTAGTCTAGAATGATCTTTCCTTCTCATTTGTTTGCCAATCTTTTTTTTTTTTAATGCTCACCTGAGGATATGTTTATTGATTTTGGAGAGAGAGGAAGGGAGAACGAGCACAAGAAAGAAACATCAATGGGTTGCCTCCTGCATTTGCCCCAACCAGGAATCGAACCTGAAGCCCTTTGGCGTATGGGACAATGCTCTAACCAACTGAGCCACCTGGTCAGGGCTGACAGTCCCTCCTTATCCCCAGGTCTCAACTCAAAACTGCACATTCCGAGGCCTTTCTGACGTCCTGATTGCCCCTCTTGCGCTCAGACCATCTGCTGCTTCCTCTTGATAGCCCTGTCACACCTTGCATGACGCCTCTCTTACATGATTAGCTAATTCCTTCTAGGGTACCACCAGGTAGGGGCTGTGGGGCTTTTATTCACTAAATGCCCAAATAATGCCTAGCATGGTAGTTGCTTAATAAATCTTTGTGGAATGAATGTTTGAATAAATAAGAAATTAGGAAAAACCTGCCAGTGATGTTTTAAAATCACCTCCTTTTTTTTTTTTTAATTCTGCTATCCTACAAACAAAAGAAAATAACCCCCATCATTCTTCCCAGGTTCAAGGGTGTCAGGTGCATTTTGCCTAAACTGAGCAAAGACTTTGCCTTCCCCAGATCTCCTTCAGAGTCCAGGGTCCCCTGGCAGACCATGGGATGCCACCAAGCCCAGAACTAAAGGAAGGACACTTTAAATAGACACTTCCATGCCTGTGTCTCATCTAGATCCTCACTCAAAACCCAAACTCCTGGGCATATGTGGCCTCGATATTTAATGACTTAGGAATGACTGTTTAATATTTTAGATGTGATAATCATATTGATGTTATGTTCAAAGAGAGATGTATACTGAAATATTTACAGATACGATTTGATGATGCCTTGGAAATGGTTCATGGGGGGCGGGGGAGGTGGGGGGAGAGACATGAGCACAGACATTACCAGACTGTCACGAATTGATTATAGTTGAAACTGGGCAACGTATAAGTAGGGGTTCATTATATTAGTCTCGGCACTCTTGTGCACATTTGAAAATTGCCCTGATAAAAGTGTGTGTGAGTTCTTTAAAGATCCCTTCATTTCTGGGACTGCTGTTCAGTGCCCTCATGGCATCCGAGGGAGGAAGGCCCTCTGCTTCACACACTGTCCCCCTCCCTGTCCACTCACTTCTGCCTCTCAGCCTCCTCAATAAATCAGGATGGAAGACACGGCCGAGCAAAGAGCTGCCGTCTGGATAGGAAATAGACCTCATTTTCTTGCCTTTCTCCTTTACAAGCTCTCTGGAGGGGTTTTCTTTGCTTATGGTCTATTTTACGGAGCAGATCACTGTTTGTGCACAGGGGCCTTCCTCGTGGCATCTCCGCTACCTCGGGGCTGCAGACTGCGGGCTGCTCTATCTGCCCCACACGACTGTGGCCAAGCAGGCTGCAGGCTGAGTGGGAAGACCGAGAGAAGCTCAAACTCCGTAGTTTCACGTGAAATTTCCCATTTTAAAAATGTAGACAATCAATTTGTTAAAATTAGGTAGGAGCCAAAGAATAAAATCCAAGATACCCAGGGTCCTTGAATAGCCCAAAGACACCCACACGTCTGTGACTGTACCTGAACTGTTGCACCGCACCTCCCTTCCTTCTCCCTGCCCCTCCTGGTTTAACTATGATGTCACACCTTGTCTTCCTCTGCTCAAATCATACCAGTGGGTCCCGTCTTGCTTGAGTGACAGCCAAATTCTGGAATCTCTACAGTCTCGCCCCAAGTTGCTCTCTGATCTTCTGTCTCTTACTACCCTACCCCTCAGTCTGTCCTAGCCACACTGAGCCCCGCTGTTCCTTCCACACACCAGGTGTGTTCCCGCCCCAGGGCTCAGCACTGCTGTTCCCTGTTCCTGGACCACCTTCCCTGACCACTTTCCCTGCCCGAGGACTCACTCCTCCTTCCTCGTCCATTCCTCTCGGTGAGGACCGTCCTGTCACGCTGGTTAAAATTACAACACTTCCTCCGTCCTCTCGGCTTTGTTTTCCCATGCACCATTTGACTTATTTTGTTTGTTATTTGTCTCCCTGACTGGACTGAAAGCGCCATGTGGGGAAGGGTGACAGTTCCTTTAGTGTTTATTCAAACAGAGCGGGAAAACTGTGTACTCAACAAATATCTGTTGAATGAATGAATGAACGAATGAGTGAATGTGCAAATGATGCTCAGGCCCAGTGTGGATCCCATGCTGAGGGATCTGTGAAGACAGCGCATGAGCGTACACGCTGCTCTGCACAGGAGGCAAAACGCTAAGACCAGGGAGGACGGGAGGGAGCGGGACCTGGGTGCAGGCTGCTGGGGCCCAGGGCCGCCTTACCTGATGGGGTAGTCGGCAGCGCTGAGGTTGATGAAGAAGTCCCAGGGCCAGTCGGTCATCTCCAGCAGGTCCCGCATGCTCTGCAAGTACGTGGCCAGGAGGCTGGCGCCGCCCCAGATGGTGGCCATCCGCCAAGGGGTGACGCGGACATTGCTGTACTGCCGGGCGAACTGGAGCACTTGGCGGTGCAGGTAGTTGGAGCGCTTTTTCCCAGGAGAGAAAAGGGTGACATTCAGCAGCCCAGAAAACACCCAGACGTACCCCTTGTCCCCTCTCTGTCCCTTCCCTTTTAGGTGGCAGGGTTCCTGAACTTTGCCCAGTAGCTGGTTCAGGCTGGGGGCATCTTTCTATATGGCTATTCGAACATTTATTATTGTTTAAATTTCACTTTAGCTATTTTAAATGCAGATTCCCTGGCCCCATCCTCTGACCTATGGTTTACTAGGAGCCTAGGGCTCTGCATTTTTATACAGATGGAGGCATGTGGTCTGAGGATAGCGAGCTGTGAAATACAGCTGTATCGAAGCCTGAGGAGTGTTGTGAGGAGTGGAATGTCTCCATCACCCTCTCACAGCCCTGCTAGAAGCAGATCCTTTGCCTCTTGAGTAAGGACATAATCATGTCACGTTCCAGGCTAAGAGAAAAACCCCTGGGAAAAGAGAGTTCAAGGGTCAGCAAGCCTGCTGCGGGGTTTTATCAATAAAGTTTTATTGGGACACAGCCACACACATTCATCATTCGTTTATGTATTGTTTATGGCTGCTTTCACACAATGGCAGAGCTGAGTAGCTGCGACAGAGAGGGTATGGCCTTCAAGCCTAAAATCTTTATATATGGCCCTTCACAGGGAAAGTGTGTCCACTCCTGGGATAGCTCCCCTCACAGAGAGGCAGGCAGTGTACTGGGCAGTGGGACAGTGAGGAAAAGAGGGAAGAAAACCAGTATTTATAGAGACTGTCACACACAAACACACACACACACACACACACACATTTTAGGAGAGGTAGCTGCTCAGCCTACTAGCCCTGTCACACACACACACACACACACACACACACACACACACACACACACACACATTTTAGGAGAGGTAGCTGCTCAGCCTACTAGCCTTCCCTGAAAGGGAGGCTGGCTTGAAGAGGGGCAGAGGGACCCACAGAGAAAGGCCAGCAGGAGGCGCCTGGATGGGGGGCTCACCTTGTCCACGTGGATGTAGTAGAAGTGGTCTTTGTGGTAGATGGCCTTGAACATGCGCTGCAGCTGCCGGGAGGCACGGCCATGCACCACCAGGACGAAAGCGATCCGGACCGGGTTGGCCAGCATATACTCCACGGAGTCCTCGTCCCACTGGACATTCTTGTTGGCTTTGCCTGAGGAAAACCCGAAAGGTCACAGAGGTGGGTGAGGGTCAGAAGTTCCTGTTGGGGGCAGGTTCTCTGATGCATCATCTTGGGGACTGTTGGAGGGGCACCGTAGTCACATTGGGCCCTGAAACCTGATTCAGCATAACCAAGCATGTTCTGGACCCTTATGCTCTCCTGGTGCAACAGGAGTGGGGGACCTTGAGGTGCTTAAGTCACAATTTCCATCCCCAAGGAGCTTTAAAGAGCTGATGGAGACACAGGTACACATATTAAACTATCGAACAGGAGGAGATAAGAGGCATAAGAGGTGCATCTCTGAACCACTGAGGAGGAGAAGTTAACTCTGAGCTAGAAAACGTAAGATACCTGTGCTGCTTTTGCCCATCCAAGTCTATTCTCCTGTTTCCTCCTAAAAGCATCCATTCAAAAAAATTGCGGTGAGAACAGATAACAGGAGATCTACCCTCTTAGCACAATTTTAAGAGCTCTGTATAGTCTTGTTGATTGCAAGCACGATGCTGTACAGAAGATCTTTAGAACTTATTCCTCTTGCATAGCAAAAAGTCTCATCTGGTATTTTGAGAGGCCTCACCCCCCTCCTCCATTCTCAGTCCAAGTGGATGGGGAGGACCTCCCTCCATTATCAAGGTCAGGGGCGTTCACAGAGCTTTAGCCTGGCCAGTTCAAACATTGCATCTCCCTGGCCATAGTCTGTATGATGCAGAGGTGAGCAGGTGACCCAACCAAGCTAATTAGCTCCAAACACAGAATTCTACACTTTAGTTGAGACAACTAGATAAGAGATGTTCATTTTTTGGTGTACACACAACTGGGAGATTCTAAGAGCGCTTTTGTCCCCACAGGGAGGTTGCCTGAGAGGGACCAACACAGAAGCAGCACTGCCGAGGGAGGGAGAGGGCTAGAGCCTAAGGACCCGCTGGAGCTCCTAGATCAGCCCCGCGGGAGATCAGCCACTGTCAGTCATATCCTAGTTTTCTTTGCAAGCCTGGATCCTACACCAGACCCAGCTGGGTAAATGGTTCCAGATATATATATTTTATCCCAGAAGCAGCTCAAAGAGGCTGCTTCCCCCTCCTTTCCCCTGCAAACACACCAGGGGCAAGGTTGCAAGGAGAAACACTGGCTTAGTTCATTGCAATTCCAGCTAGAGTTCTCCCGGCTTTCTTCGGCCTGATTTCCTTTGAGTCTAACCTGATTTCTTGTGGGTTCGAGGTTAATGGGACCAGAACATTGTCAGGGTATTAGCTGCATGTGTCCCAGAATGTCAACTGGGAAAGCCGAGAACTGGGAGTGTGTAGCCTGGAGGTCAGGAGACTGGGGGCCTGTTCGCTGTCGCTGGAAAGCTGATTGGCTGCCAAATGAACAAGGGGGCTACCTTGTTCCAGGGGACAGGAAGAGATGGACATGGCTAATGTCCAAGTTGCATGGCCCAGCCTCCACACCTACGTGATCTGCCTCCTGCAGACCTGGTGCCTTGACTGGCCGGCCCTACTACTTACCTCGCCTCCGGGCCCTTTTCTATCTTTACTTGAGGTGTCTGCCTCAGCACCTTTTCATGGGCTATTCTTGCTACTGGAACACCCTTCCCTTAGATCTTTATTTATTTTATTTATTTATTTTTTAAAGGGGAGAATTCCAGCCCAGATCTTAGGGATCGGGCCTAAGCCAGCAGGTGGACACCCCCCAAGGGGTCCCAGACTGCGAGAGGGCACAGGCCGGGCTGAGGGACCCTCCCAAGTGCAGAAATTTTTGTGCTCCTGTGCACCGGGCCTCTAGTATATATATAAATATAGATAGATAGATTTTAGAGAGGGTTGATCAGCTGCCTCCTGCACACTCCCTACTGGGGATGTGCCCGCAACCAAGGTACATGCCCTTGACTGGAATCGAACCTGGGACCCTTGAGTCCGCAGGCTGACGCTCTATCCACTGAGCCAAACCGGTTAGGGCTCCCTTAGATCTTTACCTGGCTGCATCTTCCTGTCCTCAGTTCACCGATCAATAAAAGTCCACCTCATCCCGCCCCAGCCACATTATTCTCTTTCACTGCACCCTATTTCAATTTTCTGCATAGCATTTAGCACTGTCTGAAATTGTTTATTCATTTACTTGTTTATTATTTAAGTATTCCACTAGAACATGAACTCCAAGAGATGAGGGACTATTTAGTCTTGTTTGTCATTAAATATAGAACACTATGGCACACCACGTTCTTGGTGGAAAAAAGAAGTTACAGGAGGTACATTTGGTTCAGTGCCATAGTAATAGCAATAGAGTTTACTGAGCACTGATCAGCCCTGGCCATTTGTTATTTCATGTAATCCTCATAACAACCCTGCTAGATGATATTATTTCCATTTTGCAAATGTGGAAACCACAGCTTAGAAAGGCCAAGGGATTTATTTGTTCAAGGTCACACTGCTTTAATTAGTTCAGCTGAGATTCAAACCCAGGTCTGTTTTTAAAGCCTATGCCCTTACCCACTAATATACACTACATTACCATACCCAGAATTTGGGAGTTTACAATTCTGCTTGTTAGTTAATGAAAATACCTTTGGGTTACTGCAGGTAAATAGGCATTTGAGGACTATCAGAGGCACTGCAGGGAGGATTGCTGTATCGTGTGAAAAGCTGACTCTAGTCATCATTACGGACACATGTTTTCATCCATCCATCCATCCATCCATCCATCCATCCATCCATCCATCCATCCATCCATCCACCAGTCCATCCATCCATTCAGTCACCTATCCATCCATCCAAATCTAACCAATCACCCAGAAACCATTCAACAACCCATCTAGCAAAGCATTCAACAGCTTATTATAAAACAATGCCAACCATCTATTCATCCATCCATCTAACCACCCATCACCTTTAAAACCAATCATCTATCCATCCATCCATCCATCCATCCATCCATCCATCCACTCATCCAGCATGCTCAAAGCAAATCATCCGTGAATCTACTCTTCAACCATCTAACTATCAACTCGTTGATCCATGCCATTTTAACTTTGCCTATACCACATGCCAAGGTCTGTGCTAGGTACTAGAGAAAGAAACTTTTCTTGGGGGGAGGGGAATCCTTGCTTTTGAGGAACTCTCAGCCAACTTGGGAAAACAGAAGACAATGCTCAATTGTTTTATGATAGAAGTGTGTTCAGGCTGCTCTTGGAGGGAAGAAGTGAACAGTCTGTCTGCAGGGACAGAGGAGACCTCAGAGAGTTTAGTCCAAAGCTTCGGAGCCCATTTCTTCATGCCCTCTGGATGAGTCCTAAGGTCTCATGATCCTGAGGATAATTATCCTTGTGGCTCTGGTTGAAGACAGAATGGGCAGCAACCAGGGGGGTGTTCTCACCACCCTCTAATCTTCTCTCCAAGCCAATCTCAAGACACAGGGCTTTTGTGGTGATCACTGGGGGGAGGGGGGGTTTGAGGGGGAAAGTCTGCCTGGAGGGATCATGTGCCTTTAAACACTCATACAACAATCCATCCAATCCATCCATCCATCCATCCATCCATCCAATCAACCATGAAGTATCCTTAAAACCTCCCACCTGCCAGCCCTGGACAAGGCCTGGAGAACAAAGACATGTAGAACACGAGCCTGCTTTCACAGATGTATTATGAATGGATTAAGGAATGTGAGAATCCAAAGTGAAAAGATAACATATGAGAAAAGCTTATATTCTCTCCCCAAGACCGCAGCCCAAAGGCCGTGTACTGGCCTTGGCCACACTGGGCGTGACCTCTCCTTGCCTCCCTTGGGGACTCTTTATCAAACCAAGGGAGGGACACTTAAAAGCAACAGCTACTTGTGCCACTTTTTTCCACCTGGATTTCACTGGGTGATTTTTCAAAGGTCTCACCGTGGTCCACGACACTGTATTTCATAGAAAGTGCACTCTGTAGGGGCTCCTGCTGGACTCAGATGACACTGCTCATCCCTGCCCCAAGGTCTCTGGGTAACAATGAATCTGGTGTTCTTAGCAACTGAGACTCATAGGGCCTCTGGGATCAGCCTGTGTTCTCTCCAACTACGATGTCTCTTGCCATGACTAGTTTTTTCTTATTTCAGAGAGAGGAAGGGAGAGGGAGAGAGGGATAGAAACATCAGTGATGAGAGAGAATCATTGATCAGCTGCCTTCTGCATGCCCCACACTGGAATTGAGCCTGCAACCTGGGTATGTGCCCTGACCAGGAATTGAACCATGACTTCCTGGTTCATGGGTCGATGCTCAACCACTGAGCCACACTGGCCGGGCTCTTGCCATGCTTGTTGAGTGAGCGAATGAACGAGTGGGTGGATGAATGCATCCTGGGGAAGAGGGCTGCTCTGGTCCAGAGGGGCTGACCTCGCCTGTGGGTCTGCTGTGCTCCAGCCTGTGCCAGAGGCTCTGCATCAGTTGCTACTTGGCTTTGGATGGAAGGCACTGCCATGTTCTCAGGCTCAGAGAGGTTGGAGCTTTTGTTCCGGTCACACAGTGAGCGAGGCCAGAGGTGGGAGTCAAAGCTGGGAGTGGCTGAGCCCAGCACTGGCCTTGCTACCTCCAGCCTACCCTCTCCTGAAGCAAAGAGCAGGGAGATGGGAGGACCGGCGTGAAGGTTCCGTGCTGGTCTTTAGAGGAACTTGCATGTTGATGTTGAGGAGAGCCTTTTGTACTGTCTCTTTAGGGTTTTAGAATGTGGGGGAGGTACACAGATGGGCAGACACAGACATGGATGCTTCCCTCTGGAAGGGGGAGGGAGCCCTGGGAAATCCAACACTCCCACTCAGCCACCTCCATTCAAATACAGTCCCCGTGGACCAGACGGCTGGCCTGGGGAGCAGCAAAGACAAGGGGGAATAACACCCATAGTTCTTCTGGAGGACAGCTATTTTGGGGATTAGGGTAGGTGGGAAGGAGCAAAAATATCCAATATCTCCTTTCTGGAGACACATACACAGAGGGACAGATGGATATGGTGATGAGAGGCAG